GGCGCTGCGGCGCCTCAGTGCAGCAGCCGGCATCATTCTGCACAGCAGCCGCGTCGAGGAGCTGCTGGACTCGCTCCATCATTATGCGGCGCTCTTCGCCGTCGAAGTTATCGAGTTCGTCTGCCGCCGCCTGGGCGGCACGGATATTCTCTGCGGGCGTGGCGTACACAAGGCGATCAGCCCCGAAGAGGTTGGCGATTGCCACGCCGCGCTGTCGGACCGCGCCTAGGCGGCTAGGCCCGGTCGGAGCCGGCGAGCTGCCTACGGCGTGATCCATCTCGCGTTGGTAGGCTTCTGACAAGCGCCTCATGCTTGCCAGCTTCTTCGCACCCTCGACGAGCTGAAGGCGGAGCGCCTCCAGCGTCTCGGTGTCGGCGTCTTCCGGGATCGGTGCTGCGAGGTCTCGCAGGGCCGCGTCAAGCGGGTCGTGCGCTCCTTCGCCGGAGCGCTCGCCGTGATCGAGGACGAGGACCTCAGTGATGACGCTTCCGCCGCTCCCCTCGTGAGAGAGCGGCTCGTCGTAGACCACCACGTTGGTGGGGAACGCATCGAGCGACGCGGTGTCGGAGTCGACCAGCATCGGGTCGGTAGATCCTATGGACTCCAGGTCCGCGGCAGGCTCGCCGGCGACGTGGAGTTGGTCGAGGAGGCCCGCGAGGAGGCTCTCGGGGCCACTTGTGCCTGCGTCGGACGCAGGCTCATCGGAGAGGCAGACCTCGCCGATAAGATCGGCGAGGCAACTGGCCGCACAGGCGATCTCAGCGCCGTGCAGCGCGTCGGCACAGACGCCATCCGGCGTACCGGGCTGGCTGTGCTCACGGGGAAGGAACAGGGTTCCCGTCCAGAGCAGGTCTCCGGACGACGGTGCACCAGGCCCCACGGTGGGCGCCAAATGTCGGGGGTTGGATACGACATATGCCAAAGGATGGCTTATCATGGTGGGGGCGAGTAGAACGTCGCCGGTGCCAGGAAGCCGGATGAGGTGAAGACATGCACGCCGGCGGAACTTACCCAGCTTCAGGGCTCTCCTAGGAGATAACACCCCTACTGCTACTCTGCGGGGTCTCCGCATGATCACTAGGGCAAAGTGGCTATAATGGGGCTCCTGGAGCTGTTTCTGGAGGCAGGAGAGGGCAAGGCTAGCTCTCTCCTCCCTGTGCTATCTGGTCTATCTCTATCTGGGTCTCAACCCTTTGCATGGGTGCCCCGGGGGGTTTATATAGGCCTACCCCCCGGGGGTACAATAGTAATCCGGCTGGGCGCGGGTCCCAGCCGTCTGTCTCTCAGGCCGCCGTCTTCCTCGCCGGCTTCTGGGGCCCGCCGACTAGCGGGTCCCGCGGACAGGCTCGATATTGTAGCGGCACTCTTGATGACGCAGGCTTGGTCATTGGGTCGTGGCAATAGTGCCGCCGTCTATCGGGCGATCACTGTCGTCATTCCCTGTCCTATCTGGTTAATGGCTCGTGGGGCCCTGGGGGGGGAGTCGGCCGACTCCAGGGAGGCCGACTCCCACAGGGTCGTCTTCGGGGCGCTCGGGCCGCCTTTGGCTCACCCACTGACAGGCGGCCTCGCCGCCTTCGGGTCGTACATGCCGGCGTCGTGGGCACAGTGTGCCGCGCACTGTGGCTGAGGTCAAGGCAGGCATGGCGACAGTGCCGCGCCTCGCCGGAGATCTTCCAGCGATACGGTTCACTGTAGCCATGCCGGCCCCTCGTAAGCAGGGGGAACGGCCATGCCGTGACCGTACCCCGCATCGTACTTCGAGATGAGGGAGGAGTCATGGGCCGACTCTCCATAGTCGGCCTCCCTGGAGGTCGCCAGCTTGGAGTCGGCTTATGTCGGAGTCGCCGTCTGGGACTCGGCTTGTCTTGGAGTCGGTGTTTGAGACTCGGCATATTTCAGGGTCGCTTCTGGGACTCGGCCTGAGGGGCGCGGCCGGCCCCGATGTCTTGAAAGGTCCTGGGACCCGGGTTAGCCTACCCGTGGCCCATAACTCCGACAGGTGATCTGCCTACAGAACAAGAAAATCAAATACTAAACTCATGATACAAGGTTACTGGGATTACCATTGGACTGACACACTTGAGGTATACCATGATCCGAAGTTTCTCCACACCTAATCTCTCTACTGAAGGAAAACACTTTTATTTCAATCTTTACTTTATGCTCTTTACTTCCAAGTCATTATTATTCTAGCTGCAACCCTCTCATCTTACTATTCTGATTTATTTGACTCTTGAAACACTAACATCGACTGCAGAATCACAAGAGTTGTGATAACTTTGTGTGTGTGGCAGAGATGTTGCTCATAAATACTCTTCTCAACGCTTCGTTGAGCCAACAACTATTTGGGATACATACACGAAGTGCTACACCACCATGTGTGGCTTGCATGTCATTACTAGCAACCACATCATCACTCTCATCGTCGGACGTTGATGAACATATTATGTCATTGAAAAAAAAACTCACCCGAGCTATCTGCCATGGTCCTTCGGAGTGATGAATCCATACCTCATAAGACATTGGCGGGCGTGGACGAGTTTTGGCCGGACAATCTGCCGAACACCTTGTGGGCGACCATGACTGCGAGCATGGATGAGTTTCGGTCAGCGAATGACCCTTACCTTGGCTCATTCAAGCAACACGGTTTGTCGAACCCTGCGTTCTACGGTTACCATGGAGGTGACGGTGGTGTGCCGAGGGTGCCAGCGACCTCGGGTAGGGGTGAGGGCCACGAGCTACGCCACCGAAAGGGGCCAGGAGAGGATGCCGCGGGCGCCCATGGCGTGTCTAAGCGGACACAAACTGGGCCCTTGGGCCTGCATTTTGGTCCGCGCGGACGCGAGCGGACGAAATGCGTCGGCCCGTTGCCCTTGATCCAAGAATTGGATCCTATGAAAAAAAAAAGAGGTTGAAGCCCAATCAACGTCACTTGTGACGCTCGTGCACCACGTGCCTCTCTTCCTCCTCCCCCACACTCTCCCCCCGCCGCTCTGTTCTCCACTCCCTCCCTCTCTCTGCCCCCATAAAAAAATCGAGCTCCAGCAAACAACCACCACCTCAAGCTTCTTCCCCACCTTTCCCTTCCTGCCCCGACCCCGAGCCATTTCTTTCGCCACAGATATTCCCAAAGCATCTCCTTTCTTTACCTGTTGCTCTCCTCCTCGGATTCCTCTTCCCCTGCCCCCCTCCTACTCTGCTCCTACCCGCCCGTATTATTCTTCCCTTCTCTCTCTCTGCTTTTCCCTCGTGCCCGATCTTCCCACCAGCACTCCAGCAGAGCGCCAGTTCTGCCAAGAAAACGCCGGAGGCAGGCCGGCATGTGCGTGGACGACGCCGACAGGCCCGATTCTGCAGACGCCGGAGCGCAGAAGCCCGCCGAGCTCACCTCGCCTCATGTGGGTACCGCCCTCTGTCTCTCTGAATCTCTCTCTGCAGTGTAAGATTCGATTTCGGGAGGGCGCTTCTTTGCTAGCCTAGATAGATGAATCTCGTCTCTTGTTCGGGGAATTTGATGGTTTCTATCCTGAGCTGTGTCCCATCATGGCGCCAAGGGGACGGATTGAGCTGGAAGCAGCCGGAACCAGGCCGCGTGTTGGCTTTGCACGCACGCGTTTGGTGCTTCCGTTTCTTAAAATCTGGAAGAAAGTCGCTTTGAATCGTTCAACAGGACAGAGTGTCAAGCTCCCCGCGTTCGGTAGGAGATTTCTGGTGACAAGTGACAGGTTGTTGTTTGACCGTCCATCGCATTTCTCCGTCGGTAGTACTAGTGCTACTACTACTCTGTAAGACTGTAGCTGTACTGGGTGTACACGCTGTGCCCAATCATTTGCTAGATAATCGTGATGATGAGATTTAAGACTAGCCATAGTGGGAGTAACTTCAGCAGTAACTTCAAGTCCAACTCAGCAAATTTGTCTATGTGGCAATGAGTTAATGAAGAGAGAGGTGGTTCTAGTAACTGGAACATCACACATATCAAGGTAAGATGAGTCTATAGCATAATAAATGAAGTATTGCAAATGTTACCACATATATGTTACTTCCCACTATAGAGGTAGTAACATAGAGTAGTAACATGCCCATGTTACTACTCTATGTTACTACCCATTATGGCTAGTCTAATGCCACAGGGTGTCAGGGAGGGAGGTACCAATTTCAGACCATTGTACTAGTGGAATACCTAGCAAACAGGAATAATTACTACTCCATGTGCATTGGAGCACTTGGTACCTGCAAAGATTTTTTTTTTCCTCTCTGAGGCTGAAGTGAAACAAACATGGCCCTAATGCTGTGTTAAGTGAAGGGCATGTTGTTCTTGCAATGATCCATGTTGATTTGCTTACTTTGAAGTGCCTGCATTATGTCAGTGATCGACCTGGCTGTATCGTGAGTGTTGCTTACTGCTGCCATGGGTTGCCGTCATTGGTTTGTGTAATGCTAGTGCTGAACCATCTGATTTCAGGTTATTTATCTATGTATATATGGCTTTGCTTATTTAATCAGCAGATAGTTATATGGATTTTACATTGCTGCATCACACTTTCTTGAGTAGTCAAGTCTGATGGTCTCGTGTTAACAATTTATGGGTCGCTAATGATTAGTAGAAATAATCAGTTCATTGAAGGTAACATTGTTGATGTTACTAAGTTGAACATTTGTGTATGAACTAGATGCTTTACTAATCAATGCAGCTTATTCATATTTCCCAGTTACTATTCAAATTTCAGAGAATAATGGTACTAAACTAGACATGGTAGGGGCAACACAATATAACAATTACAAGTTACAACCAATGCTAGTAACAATAGGACTGTCTCCCCAAATTGGCTAATGGCAGTTATGGTCAAAATACCTGATAATCACATGTAGTAATTTGTTACATGTTATTTTTCATAAAATTCTTAGTTAAGGCTGAAGTGAACCAAACATGGCCCTAATGCTGTGCTAAGTGAAGGACATGTTGTTCTTGCAATGATCCATGTTGATTGCATACTATGGAGTGCCTGCACTATATCAGTGTTGCTAACTACTGTCATGGGTTGCCATCATTATGCAAAGTGGTGCTTCATCTTTTTCATCAGAATTATTTCCTATTGTTTCTGCTCTCAGTTATAGAGTGCACCTACTTTACTTACATTCTTAGTTATACTAATGCGTTTTTGAACATACAGATGGAGAGTGTTTGTGAGAACACCACAACTGCTGATTTCAAGCAGAGTAACTTTGGAAATTTCCTTCCAAATGTTAGATCAGGCGGTTGGTCAGATATTGGAAGTCGCCAGTACATGGAAGATACCCATGTGTGTATTGCCGATCTAGCTAAAAACTTTGGTTATCCAACGGTGGATAAAGAAGTTGTTTCCTTTTATGGGGTATGTACATGCTTTCTCTTTTTCACTTTTTGCTCATTTTGACACAGAAATCAAGTCTATTCAAATTTACAACTAGCTAGACCGCAATTAGCTAGACCGCAATTTCCCACATGAAAAGGATAAAATTATTGCAGATTTGATCCATGTAGCCAATAATAGAAAATCTCGAGTTGTATTTGTGTACCAGGAAACTTGTATAAAGTATGTACAGACAGATCCTCTATCTTCAAGAACTATCCACAGTCAATCCTATGCTCGATCCTTGAACCTTGATCTACATTTCTGTCATGCCATCATCCAATAAAGTTCTCTTCATTGTTTTTGTACAGAATGCAGTACACACTGTGGTTCTCTGAGTGTAATTGTTGTGCTGTAGTACTTGAAAGTACAGTTTTTATTTAACAGTATAGAAGTGTAATGACATGTGGTGATCATTTTAATTGTTCTCTGTTTATATGAATCACGAGACATTGTGTTCCTGTAAGTAAGTTTTTGCACTTCTCATTTTCTAGGTCTTTGATGGGCATGGTGGAAAAGATGCTGCCCATTTCGTTCGCGATAATCTGCCAAGGGTCATTGTGGAAGATGCTGATTTTCCTCTGGAGCTTGAGAAAGTAGTGAGCAGATCCTTTGTGCAGATTGATAGTCAGTTTGCAGATAAATGCTCTCACCAGAGAACTCTGTCGTCTGGCACAACGGCACTTACGGCAATGATTTTTGGAAGGTACTTCTCTGGCACATATAACTGTCTCCTTTCTATATAACATCTTTGATTGAGCCGGTCATTTAAACCATACAATACACTTCCTTTGTTTAGGAGGTCCCATTGTTCAGCATCTATGATATGGGATGGAACACAAGGGATATCTATATATGAACAAACAATGAAAATGCATCGTAAAATGGCATCATGATACTGTTGAAGTTTAAACTCTATACTGTTTTTGAGCTGCATGGTTTACCTTGAGTGTTCTGTAAACTGCAACTATGATAAACTAGAGAGATTCTGCATACTTTGAATGTTCATCCCAAGCATATGATTTATATATATGCATCTTTAGTTATCCCTGGAGATAGTTCTAAAGGCATAATATTGCAAACATTTGTCCAACATTAAGATCTTCCTTTTTTTTATGTTATATGAGCTTTTGCTGGGTTTCCATATCTTTAAATTTCACTGCACTGGTTGACTTTCCTAATAATAACCAATGCTGATCATTATTATGTCTGCTGCAGGTCCCTTCTGGTCGCGAACGCTGGTGACTGCAGAGCTGTACTTTCCCGGTGTGGCATCGCAATGGAGATGTCGATGGACCACAGGCCCTGCAGCCTCAGCGAAAAGCTGCGGGTCGAGTCGCTCGGCGGCTACGTGGACGACGGCTACCTGAACGGTCTGCTAGGAGTCACCAGAGCCCTCGGCGACTGGCACCTCGAGGGAATGAAAGAGGCCAGCAGGCCCGGGGGAGGCCCCCTGAGCGCCGAGCCGGAGATCAAGCTGACCACGCTGACCAAGGACGACGAGTTCCTGGTGATCGGCAGCGACGGGCTCTGGGACGTCTTCTCGAACCAGAACGCCGTGGACTTCGCCCGGCGGCGCCTCCAGGAGCACAACGACGTGAAGCTCTGCTGCAGGGAGATTGTTGAGGAGGCGATACGGCGGGGCGCCACCGACAACCTGACGGCGGTGCTGGTGTCCTTCCACCTTGTGGCACCTCCTCAGATCAGGGCAAGCCAGCCTCGCAGGGTGGCGCGGAGCATTTCGGCCGATGGGCTCAACAGCCTCAGGATACTCCTGGGGAGCCAATGACGGCATTCTTCCCGCGCCGTGGTCGGCTGCTGTGCTGGTACTTTCTGAGCTCTAATTGTATGTAGTTGTGTTGGTGCTTCACTGTTGTTGCTAGCTGTTGTTATGTTACCCCATTGTTGTTGAGGCAGTGGCTGTTATTCTTGTTGGTAATTAAGCCAACGAACATGTGAGCTCACGCTTGTGAGCATTTCTTAGCTGCTGGAAACTAGGCATGTCCTGGAGAAGAAGAGGTTGTGTGCCCTGTTGTATCATACATTTCCCTGTTTTCATCTGTAAATAAGATTGTCGGGGCAACTGAAATTCGATCATGTAACTCCATCGCCGTGAATGTGTCGTCGAATCGATGGTCTTTTCTGTGTCCCTTGTCTCATGAATTGTCAATTACCAGGTGTCAAAGCACACAAAAAAGTGTACAGAGCTGAACACAAAGGAGCAAAATATTGCCTGATAAGTGATAAGGGCTTGGAGAACAGAGCAACAACGCCAAACTGCACGTACATAAAACTAGTCCAACTTCTCTGCATGCAATTAAACAACCCCAATTCAAATGGTTTCCGGACACTTCTCTGCATGCAATTAAACGACCCCAATTCAAATGGTTTCCGGACAATTTTCTGGAGGGACGAGCGAGCAAATATATTACGCGTTTCCTGGGAGACATGCAGGCAACTTTCCAGGGGCAGATGTCCATTATTACTTGCTTGAGAACCACTTGACAGAGTTCTTAATCCCGTCCTCCCCGTGGCATTACGCGCCTAATCCAGGGGTCCGGCGTCCTAATAAACACGGCTCCATGGTTGGGGCAGACATACTTGTTCAAAGTGTAGCAGAGGACTGCATAAACAATGGCTACATTCCTGCATTGGTACTTCAGGTTAGACCCTTGGCTGCAGACATGAGTACACCAATCACTGGGTGGGCCCCGGCTGGTCGTTAAGAAAAGTCTTGTGTCTGTAGTATATATGGTCTTCTCAGGGTCAAATGGTTCTTCAGACAACAGAGTACACATCTCCTCGCTAAGACTGAGCCACTGTTGTTCCACTCCACCTGAGCTGAGTTTGAAGACCCGAGGCAACAACGCTGTCTCCCAGCTCAACCCTCTCAACCCTTTCAAGATCCTTCAAAGCATAGACGTACAAGATGGCCAAGACCTGCTTGCGAATGGCTGCGGCTGCCGTGATTCTGCTCCTGATGGTGGCGACGGCCCAGGGCATCAGGCTGGACACAGAGAGCTGAAAGACAATAAGCGTTCCTACTCCCACGAGGGGAGCCGCAGTTCTGTTTATATTGATTGATGCGGCCGAAGCCAAGCTTGGAGTACAAGGAATATTACAAGGAGTTTGAGTAGGAGAAGGAAAGGAGTTTGAGATGCTACGGAAACATATTCTCTAACACCCTCCCTTAATCTTAACTACCCTAGATTAAGATTACTCTTGAACTCCTCAAATGGTCTCGATGACAATGCCTTTGTAAAACCGTCTGCTACTTGATCCTTGGAGGGAATAAACCGTATCTCAAGTTTCTTGGCTGCAACCCTTTCTCGCACAAAGTGAAAATCAATTTCGATGTGCTTTGTCCTTGCATGAAACACAGGATTTGCGGACAAATATGTTGCTCCCAAGTTATCACACCATAAACATGAGATACGATTCTTCTTGATTCCCAATTCCTCAAGAAGTGATTCAACCCAAATGATTTCTGCAGTTGCATTTGCCAAGGACTTATATTCAGCTTCTGTGCTTGACCGTGACACGGTGGCTTGCTTTCTGGCACTTCAAGAAATAAGGTTAGACCCAAAAAATACTGCAAAGCCTCCAGTTGATCTTCTGTCATCACTGCATTCTGCCCAGTCAGCATCAGAGAATGCACTCACAAGAGAGGAATTAGACCGTTTGAAATGAAGTCCTATTTTCATAGTATGCTTTACATATCTTACAATTCTCTTGACAGCTGACCAATGTGCAGAAGTAGGTGCATGCAGATATTGACAAACCTTGTTGACAACAAATGAGATATCTGGACGTGTGAGAGTTAAATATTGTAATGCTCCCACAGTACTCCTATACCTTGTACTTACCTCCTCCTGAAGTGGCACACCTTCATATGCTGAAAGTTTTTCTGAGGAAGACAAAGGTGTAGGAACTGGCTTGCAATTCTTCATCCCCATATGCGAGACAGAAGCTCAGTGATATATTTCTCCTGATTTAACACAATTCCATCTTGAGTTTTCTTGACCTCAATACCTAGGAAGAAATGCAAATCACCTAGGTCTTTCAAGGCAAACTCTGAGCTCAAATCATGCAGAAGTGCATTAGTAGCATTTTGTGAAGAACTTGCAACTATGATATCATCAACATATATAAGCACAAAAATGACTACTCCAGCCTTGTTATAAATAAACAAAGATGTATCAGCTTTGGAGGCAATGAAACCAAGATATTTCAACTGTAAGCTCAATCTGGAGTACCATGCTCTGGGTGCTTGTTTTAAACCATAGAGTGCCTTGTCAAGCTTGCAAACATAATGTGGTGACTTCTTGTCCTCATAACCAGGTGGTTGTCTTATAAACACTTCCTCTTCTAGAATGCCATGCAAAAACGCATTCTGTACATCTAGCTGTCGTAGACTCCAACCCTTGGATACAGCAATGGCTAGCACAAGTCTGATAGTTGCAACTTTAACAACAGGACTGAAAGTGTCCTCATAATCAATACCATAACGTTGTTTAAAACCCTTCGCAACGAGACGTGCTTTGTACCTGTCAATGGAGCCATCTGCCTTCTTTTTAATTCTGTAAACCCATTTGCAATCGATGATATTTTTACCTTTCTGATTTGGTACAAGATGCCATGTCTTGTTCCTCATAAGTGCAGAATATTCCTCATCCATTGCCTTCTTCCACTTAGGATCATCAAGTGCACTATTCAATGTTGTTGGTTCTCCTGAAATACACAATATTCCATATGGTATAGTCCCATCTTTTCTTATTTTAGGATTCCGTATACCTTTCTGTAATCGAGTCATAACTCGTGAAGAAACTGCTGGCTGGACCACAGGAGCACTCGCCGCAGAAGATCCCGAGGAAGCTGCATGTGATGACACAGGCGAATCTGGCGCCACCTGCGCAGAGGATCCTGTAGCCGTTGGTGTGGCCGCTTGTGTGTCCACCACACGGGTGCCAGCCGCCCGAGCCGGCACAGCGGATCGACCGCCCGACCGCGGTTGCAGGCGCGTGCTGGGCGAGGGAGATTTGGCCCCACGGCTGGTCCCGCCTGCTGCTGAGGTGGCGGCGTGGGAGTGGCGCGCGCTGGGCGAGGCGGATTCGGCCCCGCAGCCGACCCCGCAGCTGGTCCCGCCTGCTGCTGAATCAGCGCTGCGGGTGGTGGGAGCGCGATCCGAGGCTGATTTGGCCGCGGGATTCGAGGTCTGCGTACGAACAGGAGTTGCGGCGCCGCCGGATCAGCTTCGTCATCTGTGCCAGGTTCGTCTCCTTCCTCAGCATGAAATATAAGATGATCTTGAGCTTGATTTTCGAAATTTTGATCATTTTGAGCGTCGTTTTCACCAGGGACCTGTACAGGCAACAGAGAAGAACCAATACCAGCAGGAATATCATCACTTTGGTTAGTACAACTGTCGCCCCCATGATCAAAAGACCGAAGATGTGGAGGAAGAAGAAGGATTTCCTTGCGGAGAAGTGCACCAGCATTGGGATGAAGGGAAGCAAAAGGGAACACTGACTCATCAAAAACTACATCTCTGGATATGTAGACCCTACCAGTAGGAACATCTAGACATTTAACTCCTTTGTGTATGGGACTATAGCCTAAGAAGACACACTTTTTGGAGCGAAAAGCGAGTTTGCGTGTGTTATAGGGTCTGAGGTTGGGCCAACATGCACAACCGAAAACACGAAGAGATGTGTAGTTGGGTGTGACACCAAGGAGTTGAAGGAAATATGCCCTAGAGGCAATAATAAAGTTATTATTTATTTCCTCATAATCATGATAAATGTTTATTATTCATGCTAGAATTGTATTAACCGGAAACATAATACATGTGTGAATACATAGACAAACAAAGTGTCACTAGTATGCCTCTACTTGACTAGCTCGTTAATCAAAGATGGTTATGTTTCCTAACCATGAACAATGAGTTGTTATTTGATTAACGAGGTCACATCATTAGTCGAATGATCTGATTAACATGACCCATTCCATTAGCTTAGCACACGATCGTTTAGTATGTTGTTATTGCTTTCTTCATGACTTATACATGTTCCTATGACTATGAGATTATGCAACTCCCGTTTGCCGGAGGAACACTTTGGGTGCTACCAAACGTCACAACGTAACTGGGTGATTATAAAGGAGCATTACAGGTGTCTCCAAAGGTAGATGTTGGGTTGGCGTATTTCGAGATTAGGATTTGTCACTCCGATTGTCGGAGAGGTATCTCTGGGCCCTCTCGGTAATACACATCACATAAGCCTTGCAAGCATTACAACTAATATGTTAGTTGTGAGATGATGTATTACGGAACGAGTAAAGAGACTTGCCGGTAACGAGATTGAACTAGGTATTGGATACCGACGATCGAATCTCGGGCAAGTAACATACCGATGACAAAGGGAACAACGTATGTTGTTATGCGGTCTGACCGATAAAGATCTTCGTAGAATATGTAGGAGCCAATATGGGCATCCAGGTCCCGCTATTGGTTATTGACCAGAGACATGTCTCGGTCATGTCTACATTGTTCTCGAACCCGTAGGGTCCGCACGCTTAAGGTTACGATGACAGTTATATTATGAGTTTATGAATTTTGATGTACTGAAGGTTGTTCGGAGTCCCGGATGTGATCACGGACATGACGAGGAGTCTCGAAATGGTCGAGACATAAAGATTGATATATTGGAAGCCTATGTTTGGACATCGGAAGTGTTCCGGGTGAAATCGGGATTTTACCGGGTTACCGGGAGGTTACCGGAACCCCCCGGG